GGGGGTGGGAGCGAAGTGGAGGGGGTCAGTTGCAGGGGAAAATGGTATACCTGTAATACTCTCAACAATAAAGATAAATTTAAAAAGTAAAAAAAATTTTTAAAAATAAAAATTAAAAAAATTAAAAAAAGAACACAATGCAGACCAAACAGAACAAGTCTTTCGGCTCCATTTAGCCAAAAAGTTTATGAACTCTGATTTACCTGTTTTCATGCCAGCCTTCCAAATATAACCACCTCTCAATTAAAAATGTTGCTAGTCTGGCCGGCGTGGCTCAGTGGTTGAGCATAGACCTATGATCCAGGAGATCTTGGTTTGATTCCCGGTCAGGGCACATGCCCAGGTTGAGGGCCCGATCCCAGTCAGGGGTGTGCAGGAGGCAGCCGATCAGTGACTCTCTCATCATTGATGTTTCCCTCCCTCCCTCCTTCCCTCCCTCTTTCTCTCTCTCTCTCTCTCTCCCCCTCCCTCCATTCCTCTTCCTGAAGTCAATAAAGACATATTTAAAAAAAAAAAAATTAAAAACCTTGCTAGAAAAATATGTAACCTTTTTTGCGATGAAGAGCATAAAACTGTGAAACTGTTCTACAAGGCTCACCCCCCTGACCGCCCTGGTAGGCCTGCCACGGAAGAAGAGTATAGACAGACAGCAAGGGTGCTCAGCATCACCCACCACTGGGCTTAGCTATCCCGGGTCTATGCTGGACACCTCTTTAGGGTCTTTCAAGAGAATCCTCATCAGAGAGCACTTGTGCCCCTCCCTGTGAACACGATCCACAGCGTGTGATCGTTTCTTTGGAAAAAGTTCAGGAGAGCAGAAGATAAAAGAAAGAGCTGAAGATACATTCTCTTTTTCACCTCACGTGTCATTTTAACAGCATTCCACTACAAGCAAGTGGCACAGGACGTTTACTCAGAATGGTTTGGGGATATGGTAATGGCCATTTCACCCTATATGCTATGGGGGGAGGACAATTTCAGGCATTGAATTGGGAAGCAAGTGTGTATTTAAAAATATGAAGAGGATAACAAACGACTCCTGCTGGTGAGGTGCGGAGAAAGGGAGCTCTGGGGCACTGCTGGTGGGCATGCAGACAGGCAGCCACTAGGGAAACAGTGTGGAGGGTCCTCAAGAAATTAAACATGGAGCCCAGCCAGGCATGGCTCAGTGGCTGAGCATCAACCTAGGATCCAGGCAATCAGGGTTCGATTCCCCATCAGGGCACATGCCCGGGTGGGCTCAATCCCCAGTCAGGAGCATGCAGGAGGCAGCCAATCAATGACTCTCATCATTGATGTTTCTCTCTCTCCTCCCCTTTCCTTTCTCTGAAATCAATAAAGATATACTTAAAAAAAAAAGAAATTAAAAATGGAGCTGCCTTTTGACCCAGTGATCCCACTTCTAGGACTATATCCTAGGAATTCTGAAACACTGATCAGAAAGAAGATATGCACCCCTATGTTCATAGCAGCCCAGTTTATAATAGCCAAGATCTGGAAACAGCCCAAGTGCCCGTCAGTAGATGAGTGGGTAAAAAAGCTGTGGGACATTTACACCACAGAATACTATGCAGCTTTAAGGAAGAAGAATCTCGTACCCTTTGGGACAGCAGGGAGGGACCTGGAGAGTATTATGCTAGGTGAAGTAAGCCAGGCAGAGAAAGACAAGTATCACATTATCTCACTTATATGTGGAATCTAAAGAACAAAATAAACTGATGAACAAAATAGATCCAG